AGGTACAGATGGCTTCAGGGGATAATTCTACCAAATGTTTAAAGAAGAATCAAAGCAATCTCTTTAAGAAAAGAGATTCATTTTATGAAGCTAACATTACCCTGTAATACACATTGGGTCTTCATCGCCCTTTCATGGCATATAACTCCGGAAATCCTTGGAACTTCCAAAGTGTTGCCTTTTTGTACAGTAATGTTAACTGACACTTTCAGTTAATGATGGGGCTTGTCATCAGAAAGACACAGCCATGATTAAATAATTGGGACTTTCAGCCTCAGCCCCCAATATCCAAGAGGGGAGAGGGGATGGAGGTTAAGTTGATCACCATTGGCCAACAGTTTAATCAGTCATGCCTACATAATGAAGCCTCCATAAAGGCATCACAAAGGCAGGGTTCAGTGAAATTCTGAATAGTCTAATACGTGGAGGTTCCTGGAGGGTGATATGCCCAGGGAGAGTGTGGAAGCTCCATGCTCCTTTTCATATGCCTTCCCCTATGCATCTCTTCATCTGTATCTTTTGTAACATCCTTTACAACAAACAAGCAAATGTGTTTCCTGAGTTCTGTGAGTCACTCCAACAAATTAATCAAATTCAAAGAGGGTGTCATGGGAGCCCCAACTTGAAGCTGGTAAGTCAGGAATTCTGGAGGCATGGACTGGTGACTGGTGTCTGGGGTTAGGATAGTCTTGTGGAACTGAGCCCCTAGCCTGTGGGGTCTAATGTTGTATCCAAGTAGATGGTGTCAGAATTGAATAGGAGGATACACAGCTGGTGTCCACTACAGAATTGATTGCTTGCTTGCTGTTGGGAGAATTTTCCACAAATTTTGGGAAAAGTCTTCTGTGCTGATGTTTGGTGTGAGATAAACACAACCTGATACGAATATTATCAACTTTTACCTTCTATTTCTTTCATTGATTTCTGTTCCTAATGTTTTTCTGTTTTCAAATTTCTAAATTATTCCTTTTATCTTTATTATTTCCTACCTTATTCTTTACTGGGCTTATTTTACTCTTTTCTTACAAAGTTATTGAGGTGGGAACTTAGATTATTTGACACATCTCTTGTAAATGTGTTCATTATTGCTATAAATTTACCACTCATTCTTTTAGCTGTGTCCCACATATTTTGATATGTTGTATTTTATTTTCATTCCGTTTTTAAAAAGAAAATAAGTCTCAGGACCCCAAACTCACTAAGCCAAAGGGAAAAGTCAAGCTGGAAACTGGGTCATACAAATCTGCTTCCCAATTGGTTCCTGAATAGGACAGCTACAAAGATGAAAAGCTACATACCTCCCTCACACTTTGCCCGCAAGGAAATTCCTTGTGTGCCCCAAGATCTTTACCCTAAAACAGTTCTGCTGGATTTCACCCTGGCAATGTAAATTGAAAACTTGTTTTCACAGGTGCAGGACAAAGGGCAGAACTAAAAGTCATCCCTCTGCTCACCTGAAACAAACATGTATCTGATTGCTTCCTTTGCCCTATTGTTTACATTATCTTATGTAAATATGCAGATTCTCTGGGCCAGATGAAGGATAAGTGACTATTCATCTACTCTCCTGTTACATGTAAGTTGTGTATTCCATGAAAGTTTGATCAAAGACTCAAAAAATTTAACCATATGTCTTTTATCTATCCACACCTTTCAAACAGTTTCTTCCTCTTTTCCCCATGTCTGCTCTTTCCCCTTTAAATATCAAAGCCTTCAAAATCATCTTTGGAGAAAAGCACAGTCCTGTATCCTGAGCATACATTCTTAATTTTGGCGATAAACCTCCTAAAATGATTGAGACTCGCCTCAGTCATTTTCATAGATTTACAAGTTCTATGTATTTTTTAAAATATATTTCTCTTAACACTTTCTCTTTGATTTATTGTCTTAGTCAATTTGGGCTGCAATAACAATTGTACTGTAGACCATGTGACTTAAAGAAGAAACATTTAATTCTCAAATTCTGGAAGCTAGAAGTCCAAGTTCAAGGTGCTGGCAGATCCCATGTCTGGTGAGGGCCACCTTCTGGTTTGCAGATGGCAGCCTTCTTGTGGTATTCTCACATGCTGGAGAGCAGAAAGGGAAGCACAAGCTCTCTGCTGTCTCTTCTCCACACTTATGACCTAATTACCTCCCAAAGGCCCCATCTCCAAACACAATCATATTGGTGATTAGGCTTCAATGTACAAATCGGGGAGGGGGCTCACAGACACTCAGTCCACAGTACTTCTGGATTATGTGGAAGTGTGCTAGCTTCCAAGTATTTAAAGTCTCACCTGTTATTTTTTTCTGTTACTGAGTTTTCATTCTGTTGTGGTCATAGAACATACTTTGTATGATTTCAATTATTTTAAATTTCTCAAGGGTTGTTCTATAATACAGAGTATGATCTATCTTTGTACATGTTCTGTGGGACCTATGGGCCCTTGCATAAAAAGTGTATTTACTGTGGTTGGGTGGAGTGTTCTACGAAAGTTAAGTTAGATCCTGTTGGTTAACGATATCATTGAGTTTTTCCATATCCTTGTATTTTTGTTCATTCTATATCCTTGTATTTTTGTTCATTCTTGCTAGCCATTGTTTCTCTAGTCCTAGAAGTCCTAGAATCTCTGGCATAGAAGTAGAGAAGAAATAGTGAATATTCAGCTTCTTTTGTTGTTGTTGAGACAGTGTCTCGCTCTATCACCCAGGCTTAAGTGCAATGGCACAATCTTTGCTCACTGCAACCTCCGCCTCCCAGGTTCAAGTGATTCTCCTGCCTCAGCCTCCCAAGTAGCTGGGGCTACAGGTGCACACCACCACATCTGGCTAATTTTTGTATTTTTGTAGCAATAGGATTTTGCCATGTTGGCCAGACTGGTATCGAACTCCTGACCTCAAGTGATCCACCCGCCTCAGCCTCCCAAAATGCTCAGATTACAGGCATGAGCCACTGTACCCTACTCAAGCTTCTAACTTCTTAAATTAGCTAATTATGAATATCTCAAAGATAAAAAGCCAGATCTTTTATTGCTCATTTGCAAGAACCAAATTTCATTAAAAGGAGAAAAAATACTTTTACAGATTTTAAAGAGTTAAGCCATAGAGGATTTGAGTATAGAATGTTTAGTGTAAGACATCGAAAGGCAGGATATGTGATATAATATGGATATTATATCCCACTAAACAAGATAAAGCATTCCTACCAGACATCAGGGAGGCAGAAAACAGAGACAGACATAGGTGAGTATCCAACCCCCAGGACTGAGACGCTTAGTGAAAAATGTAAACCCCTAGGTAGGTTTGAGGATCTGAGGACAGAAGAGTATGTTTTAAACTAAGAAAAAAAGAATCATGAAAAACGAGCTTGCTGTGTGCCATAAGCCGTCATAGGATAGATTCAGGGAAGCAGAAATGAAAGTATAGCATACTTAAGTAGAGAGTCATAGTGTTCCTGGCTTCATAGTCAGCTCCTATCCAGCAGTTCCTGCAAGCTGTGGGGGGACAGAAAGCCAAGAAAGTGGCAGAATGAGGAGGGCCCAGAATACAAGGACCTGAAGATCAGACAGTATGGCTACATCTAAGGGGATCAGCAGCAGAGGCTGGTGCAAGTCAGAAGGATGAGCAGAGACTGGCAATACGAGCAGAAAACGACCAGGAGGATGAGATACTCAAGCAGTGGCTAATCCATGACAGCTACCACTCCTTCCAAGCTACTATATAAGCTTCCACTTGTACCCAGAAGCCATCATAAGTGGTACAGACAAGAGACAGGGAAATACTGCATAGAAGAGGATGGTTCCTCAGCAAAGACCCCACCTTTAAGTCTGGAAACCCACCGCCTTAAATTAGAACAGACATTTCTGTTTTTGTGACTAAAAGTTGCCTTTTAGCCCACCATCCCCCACCCATCCTGTACCCATATAAACCCCAAACCCCAGGCTCCACAAGCAGATGAACAGAAGAGCGGAAGAATGGAAGAATAGCATGGCAGAAAGAAGGAAAGGAGCATCTGAATGTGGAGAGATCAACTGGGAACAAAAACGAGATGGGACACTGCATGACCAAACTCCAGAGGAAGATCATCTTCTCACTTCATCCCCCTTCCAGCTCCCCATTCATCCTGCTGAGAGCCACCTCCACCACTCAACAAAATCCCTGCATTCACCCTTCAAGTTTGTGTATGACCTGATCCTTCCTGGATACCAGACAAGGACCTGGGTACCAAGAGGGCACTGAGCTGGTTAACACATGTGCCATCCACAGACAGCAAGGCTGAAAGAGTGCACTGTAACACATGCCCACTTGGGCTTTGGAAGTTGCAGGATAGCCCCCGTGGATGCTGCCCCAGGGCCTTGACCCAGGGGTGCTCGCTCCGGCTCCTGTACCCACCCATCTACATGCTCCACCTCCTGTAAGGAGTTTGAGCATGCATGGTGGCCAAACAGACAAGCCAAACCCCTGTTGCATGTCCTGCTAGGGGAGTCAGGGAACTCTCCTGTTTTATCAACAGTAAAGCAAAAGGAGGAGGGGAAAAACCAGGAGAGCAGGGGCAAGGAGTTAGAGGAGCCCTTGAGAGAAAAGAACACCTCCGATAACCTGAATTTTGAATCAACAAAATTTAAATTCTGGGTAATTACACCAAAAGGCTAAACCCTAAACCAGAAGAAAATCAAAGTGACAAAATTAATTTGTTTGTTGTTTGTTTACTTGATTTCTTTTTTTCCTCTCACCATCATTGAAATAGGGGCTATTTGAGTTCAACTACAGAGGGGTTAAAAAACAGAATCATATGTTTATACATGTGAGGTTTGCAGGGTATTTAACTACGCTGCTTAAAGTTTTGGTCCTGGAAGGGGCTTTGAAGGGCATCTAATTCACATTGTATTGAGAGGAAATACATGAAGAAATGGAAAGCAGTTATCTCAGGACCACAAAGCCGGTCACTAAAAGGGCCAGTACAAGATTGCACATTTCCAAGGCACCCAGACAAGTGAGCATTCAAAATCAAGAGCCACTTTCACCAATAGTCACTGATGATGGAAAACACGGGGTTCCATAGATGTTGCTGCTTCAGATTTATAAGGACACACAAAACTCTTGTATCATAGGAGCAAACCCACCAGCTACCAGTGACTGCATGGGGCCTTTCCCCCAGCTCTTCTCTCTCAACGGTAATTCCCTTTGTGTAACTTTCAGTTTTCTGCAGTGCCAGCAGTCGTGACTGGTTGTGGCATCTCTAACAAAGCACATTGGATGTTGTTTTAAAGTCCCATGGTCAGAGCTAAAAATAGGACGATGCTATATCATCTGATATTTTCAGATGATCAGCTACACCACTCCCCTCCTTTCTGAAACCAACAGAGGTAAGTGGATTTTAAAATTTTGTTCTTTGAACAGCTCAATTTAGAGAACAATAGAGCCATTTCATAAGCATTTCCCTCATTTCATGGGCTACTGAAAACATGGAACTAAAGAGTGTGGCCCACCTGGACATGAGCGTGTACACTGTTTAGGCTGAATGAGTGCTTATGTATGTTACAGGAACAGGCTGCCTTTTGGGTGTCATCTCACATTTGGTTTCATTTTACCTTTCTCTAGTCATATTCCTTTGCCCTGACTTCTATGCCTATTTTTACATTTTATTTTACAGAAATTATATATTTTTGTAATGCAGCTTACAAAAAAGGATAAGAATATTAATCAAGCAATGTGCTTACTTTCATCAGCTTCAGTCAAACTTTGATTTGCCCATCTTCAAATTATTTGCTCAAATTATATCTACAAGGCAAAATGAAAATAAATAAGGAAAAAATCCTGCTGCTGAGGATTAAAAGCACCTTTTACATAATAACTAATGGATTTTGCAGCCTGGCTGTGAACATGGCTGACAACATCAAATAGATATGTCAGTGGTGAATTTTTGCCCTGTCCATGTGAATATAACCTCAATTTAAGATCATAATAAAACTTGAAACAGTGAAGCAAGAGTGAGATTTAACCTCCTTAAGATCAGGGAGCACATCTTCTTTTAATAAGTATTTCAAACATGTTTACATAGAGGCTTACCCAGGCAAAGTAACCACAATAACTGTTTTTTTAAAGTACAATACATTAACATGTTACCTACTCTACAAAAACAAGAACCTTAAGAAGCAAAATAATAATCATCATTTGAAATATGAATAGTTACCTGAAAACCTGTAGCAATCCAAAGCCAAATTTAAGATGTCCAAAATTTAAGCTGAGACAGCCCTTTCCTCTTGAGAAACTGCAAAATAAATACAAGTTCCCCTCCCTTTGTGTCACACATACAATTTAGGGGGGCTCATTTGGACAATATTTGTACTAAGATTTAGGGGTCTCATTTGGACAACATTTGTACTAAGATACGTAACGTCATCTAGAATATAAGTCAGAATACCCAGCTATTTTGTGATTTCTGTTTCTTTCTTTTGTGATTATTCACTTTAAAATTACAAGTTCCAATTCATTTTTAGATTTCAAATGATCTACACTTCATCTGTTTTTATAATGCCTATATTCCTTGGCTTTTTCTAAACAACGAATTGAATAGGTATCTTAGCAAGAAAGGCCGTGGGGAAGATTGCAAGCATTATACTATGCTTTGTTGAGTGGGTTCAGAATAGTTTATAATATATTATCATAAAAACAAATTGACATCAATAGCATAATTGCTGCATGAATAATCTTAGAGCAAGTGAGACCTTTCAAGGCTTTTTTATTGTAAGCAATCATTATGCTCACCACATAAAACAAATGCCTTCTGGGAATTTTTAAAATAAGACTCAGCTTTCTCTGGTTTGTATTTCTTGGTTTCAACATAAGATATCTAAAAGATAAAAGAAGCTGTTCTGGCTGTAGGGATAATATTGTATATAGCCATGGGTGATTTATGCAGTAAATTAAGGGAAAAAGTTGCACATATAATGAGATATTAGTGAGCAAGTTCTCATTACCATCATAATATTTGGCACCAAAATTTAATAACTCTTTCTGCATGTGAATGCCAAAGAGCATTTTAACATTAATTAAAAGCCCATAATGGTACTGGATGAAAGAGATAATGTTAACCCAACTTTACATATGAGATACAGAGTCATAGAGATTAAGAAAATGACCCAGGCAGATTTTTTTAATTATTCATAATGCCACAATATGTCGATGGTGAGAGGGAAATCGGCATAGACTCCCACAACTACTGCTGTTCTCATCATTGCCTTGTATGGAACAGAAGCCTGGTAATTAGGGCTTCTGATTTCTACAGATGTTCTCACTCCCTCTCCTGCCCTGCATTCCCTCAGCACTAATGAATTCTGTATTAATTTGCAATCAATGATTGAGAAAATAAAAAGCTGTCTTCAATTCCTTTAGGGCAGAAAACAGTTCTTAATTTTCTCTGAATTTCCCTATATTTCTCTGGCTCTGCTTTATGAAATGTGCAAACAAAGAGTTCCTGGGCTGAGCAAACTTAAAGGGCCTTCTTTACTCCAAAAATTCTCAGAGCCTTAATATACTGATGTATATTGCAAAGCTCAAAAAAAAGAAATATTTCTTGCAGATTTATGTGACCACAAAATCTCCATTTCATGGTAGGCAGAATAATGGTCTCCTAAAGATGTCTATTTCCTAATCCCTGGAACTTTACAAGGCAAAGGGAAATTACAGTAGCAAATGGAATTAAGGTTGCCAATCAGCTGATCTTAACATAGTGACGTTATCCTGGATTATCTGTGTGAACCCAATATAATCACAAAGGTCCTGAAAACTAGAACTGGAAGGCAGAAGACAGTGTCAGCAATGCAGCATGGGAAGCACTTGACCATTCACTGCTGAGAAATGTGGGAAGCTGCAGAACTGGAAAAGAGACGCATTCTCCCCTCCAGCCTCCAGAAGGAATGTAGCACTGTTGACACTTTGATTTTAACCCATTGAGACCCCTTTCAGATTTTTATCTCCAGAACTGTAAGATAATAAATCTGTATTGTATTAAGCCACCAAGTTTGTTATAATTTATGACAGCAGCCATAAGAAACTAATACAGTGGGACCCATTAATGTCCTGCGAATACCTTCCAGAATTACAGCTCTGTTACAATTTTTTAGGGAAACGCTATTCTACCTGGAACAGGGGCCCACATCAGACTGTTAATAAATATTATAGACTGAATAATTCACTTTTGTTGCATGAAAATTGTTAGTACTAGGTCGTTAAGCCAGCCCATCTGTTAGCCTATTTCACTATCTGCATTTTATAACAACCATTTCTACCAGCCATTTTGAATCATGAAGCAAAAATTCATTTACTTTAAATGAGGCTAAAATAAACAGTATGGAATAAACTCAGTGCATCTCAAATTTTAATGTGCATGCAAACCACCTGGAGAATCCTCTTAAAATGCAGATTCTGATTCTATAGCTCTGGCATGAGAACTGAGAGTGTGCAGTTCTAACAAGCTCACAGGTGACACCAATGCTGGTGAGCATTGGTGTCACCTGCGAGCTTGTTAGAAATGGACCAAACTTTAAATAGCAAAGAACAAAAAAGGGCAACCCCTGTCAGACACTCTATTCCCTGCCATGGAAACCCTTCTGTTCTCCCAGGTGGAATCAGGCAAATCCTCCTTGCCCTGTTTTTAAGACCAATACTGATCCCAAGTAGAAGATAGTCAAGCAATTTTAACTTAATACTTAGAAGACTCAACTTCTAGTTAATACAGTATATTTTTAAATTATAAAATAAATATATTCCCATGAAAGACAATTTATAAAATAGAAGAAAGAGTAATTTTAATCATCCACAGTCTCAGCACCCAAAGATATGCCTTATTAACATTTTAATGTCTTTCCTTCAATACTTTTTTCTCTACAGAGATTCTATTTTACATATTTGACATCATATTACATATCTCATTTTTTAATCTAACATCATATATACATATACAGTGGTTATAGATTGGATTATTGGTCTCAGTTCTTCATTCCTCTCTAATAGAATTCTATATCCACACTCTTGCCACTCTGGGAAAGAGTGTCCTAATCCTTCTCCCGTCTAATAGACATATGCCTTTACTGTCACCAGGCTGGTAAGCAGGGAGTTATTCCCAACACCTTGACTTTGGGATTAATTAAGTGACTTACACTAGCCTAAGGGTTATTAGTGGACAAATATTTTTTAATGTAGGTTTTATTATTTAGATATGTCAAAAAGCCAATAGATAAGGAGACAGCTACCACTGGAAAGATAGTTTGTTACACTCAACAGACACCAAGACAAAAGGGCATGCCACGCCATAATGTGGGGTCACATGGGGAAGCACCAGGCTCAGTCAGGGGCAGAGGGAACAGGGAGAAGATCTTTACTGTGGTTACTGTGGGGAAACTAATGTGTGAGGCAGGGTGAGCAGGTTTAGAATTGGCCACTTAGAATAATTTCAGTGGACTCTCTGGTACAGTTGTCTGGTATTTAGCCCTGGAGTATTGGCCCAGAAGGTAAGAGTTCATCAAAGGAGGTGGTTGGGAGGGTATGAGCTCTGGAATAGTTGGTCTGCATACGAAAAGCGCACTCTCAGGCCAGTAGTCTGCTATCTCTAGGAATTAGCTAACCCTGGGAGAGGTAGTCACTCCAGGGTCAGCAAGGCCCCAAGATGTCAAAGCATCAACAAATACAGAATAAAAAGACGTGACTAGCACAACGTGACGCAAACAAGGGCTTGGAATGTGCTGATGTGGCTGGGCTTGTTCTCTTGCAGTGTGATCGTCTGCAGTGAGAAAAACTCGTGCAGCCAGGGTTACAGAACAGCCACACAAAGAGCAGGCCTGGACCCGACTCAAGGTCAGGAGCTAAGCCCAGCTGACGCCCAGCCAGCAGTGGAGGCAAACCCTGACAGCCCACATAAGGCAGAAACTACTGCTTATTGCTGCCTGCCTCTGAGATTCTGTGGTTGTTTGTTATAGAGCATTATGGTGGCAAAGCTGAATATGTTGGAAGTGGGGTGCTGCCATAACAAATCCCAAAATACATGCCATCAGCTTTAGGACTGGAAGTTAGAAAGGAAGGATATTGTTCTAAAAGCCTGGGAAAAAATGTTGGTCCATGTTATATAGTAGTGAAAGTAAAGCATTTGTTATAACTGTTACTTTCAATAAACCAAAAGACAGGCAATGGACCTGATAAAGTTGGGATGATGAACAAGCAAGTTTCAATTCACAATGCTGGTAAGATAAGTGGGTTGTTGAATTGCATTTGAAAGCTATGATAAGAGATGGATTTTGTGATGGTTAATATTGAGTGTCAACCTGATTGGATTGAAGGATGCAAAGTATTGTTCCTGTGTCTGTCTGTGAGGGTGTTGCCAAAGGAGACTGACATTTGAGTCAGTGGACTGGGAGAGGCTGACCCACTCCCAACCTGGGTGGTCACCATCTAATCAGCTGCTAACATGGCTAGAATAAAGCAGACGGAAGCTGGAAGAACTTGACTCACTGAGTCATCCGGCCTTTATCTTTCTTCCGTACTGGATGCTTCCTGCCTTCAAATATCAGACTCCAAGTTATTCAGCTTTTGGACTCTTGGACTTATACCAGTGGTTTGCCATGGGCTCTCAGGCCTTCGGCCACAGACTCAGACCGCACTGTCGGCTTTCCTGGTTTTGAGGTTTTGGGACTCAGACTGGCTTCCTTGCTCCTCAGCTTGCACATGGCCTATTGTGGGACTTCACCTTGTGATTGTGTGAATCAATATTCCTTAATAAACTCCCCTTCATAAATACATCTATCCTATTAGTTCTGCCCCTCTAGAGATCCCTGACTAATACAGATTTTGGTACCAGGAGCAGTTCTAGAGGAAGAGAATTTTAAAGATGGATTTTTTTAGTTGGTTTTGGGGTTTCTGGAGTGGGCTGCTTAATATGATTAGACCCAAAAATGCTAAGGACTCTACTTCTAATAGTATGGAGAACACTGATGGTCCTTTGAGTGAACTGTTTAGAGAATTATGCAAAATAAATGCATTTGACACTCCTGATTCATCACTCATGAGAAGCAAGGAGTTTAGTGACTCTATACATAATACCTTTGACCATATGTGGAGAATCAAGGAATATAATAGTTGTTCCTAAGCTCATTGGACAAAGTGATGAAAGAAGAAGAGCTCAGGGATTCTAAATCCTGGCTCCAGAAACACATACTGAGCCTCAAGTCTTCTAAGATTGCTCCAAGTAAGAGTCTTATCTCCTGTAGACAAAGGGCTGAAATTGAAGAAAATCAGACACAAGCTCTTATAATGAGAATGGCTGACCTTCAAGGAAAGATGCATGCTCAGGCTCGCCAGGTGTGTACTGTTACACTGAGAACACTGATTGGAAAAGAATAAGATCCTGCAACTTGGAATGGGGATGTGTAGGAGGACCTTCATGACGCTGGGGACACTGAACTTGTAAACTCCAAGGAGCCATTTTTGCCAGAGGAAACAGCCTCCCCACCCCCAGTGGTGGCAACATCCTCTCCCCCACCAACATGACCATCAGCCTTTCCACCTTTGTCTGAGGAGATGAACCCTGCACTGACTGAGCCAACAGTAATGGCCTCAGACAGTTACAAGACAAGACAATGCTGATTCTTCTCAGGACCCACCCCCAACACCCCTTTGTGCTTCTAGACCTAGAACTAGACTTAAGTCCCAGAAGACCCCTAGAGGTGAGGCTCAGAGTATGACCTATGAGAAGGTGCACTACATTCCAAAAAAACTGCCTGAGTTTTCTAATTTATATAAGAAGAAATCTGGAGAATAGGCAAGGGAATGAATATTAAGGGTATGGGATAATGGTGGAAGGAACATAGAGTTGGATCAGGCTGAACTTATTGATATGGGCCCACTAAGCAGGGATCCTTCATTTAATGTTGCAGCTTGGAGAGTTTAAAAAGGTTCTAATTGTTTGTTTGTTTGGTTAGCTGAAATAGGAATTAAAAGATGGCTCACTGTGAGCAAGCTGGAAATGCCTGATCTCCCTGGGTTTGATGTAGAGGAAGGGATCCAAAGGCTCAGGGAGGTTGGAATGCTAGAGTAAATTAGTCACTTCAGACCTACTCATTCCAGCTGGGAGGGTCCAGGAGACATACCCCTCACTAATACTTTGCAAAATAGATTTATCAGGGGAGAACCTATATCCTTGAAGAGCTTTGTGATTGCCCTTCTCTGTCTGCCAGATCTTACAGTGGGAACCACAGTCACTCAATTAGAAAATTTAAATGCAATGAGAATAATTGGATCTCAAGGTGGCAGTGGCCAAGTGGCAGCACACAACCATCAAAAGCAAGGTAGGCATAGTTACTGTAATGGACAGCAGAGGCAAAGCAGCAATCAGAATAGTCTGACTCAAGTAAGCTCAGGCATTGGCTAATGAATCACAATGTTCCTAGAAGTGCAATTGATTGGAAGCCTGCTACATTCCTACTTGATTTGTAAAGCAGAAAACTTCCAGGTCAAGTGGACAAGACTAATTTGAATTATAAAAAAGGAGAATCATGGCCCTTCAATCAATTTCAGACTTGAGACAGTTTACAGACCCAGAACCCTTTGGATGAAGGAGAGGTCGGGTTCCCTTGAGAAAGGACTGCACTACACTACCAACAATTTGTGCTGTTAATCTTTCTCCCATCCTTCCCCAAGGAGACCTCCAGCCTTTTACCAGAGTAACTATGCACTAGGGAAAGGGTTGATCAGACTTCTGCGGTACGACTGGACCATGGCTCTGAGCTGATGTTGATTCCAGGGGACCAAAACGTCATTATTGTCCCCCAGTTAAAGCATGGGCTTTGGAGGTCAGATAATTAATGTTGTTATAGCTGAGGTCCAACTTATAGTGAGTCCAGTGGGCCCCAGACTCATCCTGTTGTCATTTCTACGGTGCCAGAATGCATAATTGGCATAGACATACTTAGCAACTGGCAGAACTCCCACATTGGCTCCATGACTGGTAGGGCAAGGGCCATTATGGTGGAAAAAACCAAATGGAAGTGATTAGAGTTGCCTCTAGCTAGAAAAATAGTAAATCAAAAACAATATCACATCCCTGGAGGAAGTGCAGAGATTAGCGCCACCATTAAGGACTTGAAAGATGTATGGGAAATGATTCCAATTCCCACCACATCCTCGTTCAACTCTCTCATTTGGCCTGTGCAGAAGACACGGATCTTGGAGAATGGCAGTGGATTATCATAAGCTTAACTTAGTAGTGACTCCAATTGCAGCTTCTATACCAGATGTGGTTTTATTGCTTGGACAAATTAACACATATCCTGTTACCTGGTATGCAGTCATTGATTTGGCAAATGCCTTTTTCTCCATTCCTGTCCATAAGGCCAACCAGAAGCAATTTGCCTTCATCTGGCAAGACCAGCAATACACTTTCTCTGTCATACCTCAGAGGTATATCAACTCTCCAGCTTTGTGTCATAATTTGTTCACAGAGATCTTGATCACTTTTCTTTTCCACAGAATATCACACTGGCCCATTACATTGATGACATGCTAATTGGATCCAGTGGGTGAGAGGTAGCAAACACATTGGACTTATTGGTGAGATGTTTGCATGCCACAGGATGGGAAATAAATCCAACCAAAATTCAGAGACTTTCTATCTCAGTAAAATTTCTAGAGGTCCAGTAGTGTAGGGCCTATATCTTTATATATAACTTTATATCCTTCTAAGGTGAAGGATAAGTTGCTGCATTTGACCCCTCCTACAACCAAGAAAGAGGCACAACACCTAGTAGGCCTATTTGGATTCTGGAGGCAAAACATTCCTCATCTGGAATGTTACTCTGGCCCATTTATCAAATGACCCAAAGGATGCCAGTTTTGAGTGGGGTCCAGAACAGGAGAAGGCTCTGCCACAGGTCCAGGCTGCTGTGCAAGTGCTTTGCCACTTGGGCCATATGACCCAGCATGTCCAATGGTGCTTGAAATGTCAGTAGCAGATAGGGATGCTGTTTGAAGCCTTTGACTGGCCCCAATAGATGAATCACAGCAGAAGCCTCAAGGATTTTGGAGCAAGGCCCTGCCATCTTCCACAGGTAACTACTCTTCTTTTGAGAGATAGCTCTCGGCCTGTTACTGGGCTTTGGTGAAAACTGAACGTTTGACTATGGGTCATCAAGTCACCATGTGACATGAACTGCCTATCATGAACTGGGTGCTTTCTGACCCATCTGGCCATAAAGTGGGTCCTGCACAGCAGCAGCATTCCATCATTGAATGAAATGGATGTGGTATATATGTGATTGGGCTAAAGCAGGTCCTGAGGGCACAAGTAAGTTACATGAGGAAGTGGCTCAAGTGCCCATGGTCTCCACTCCTGCCACCCTGCCTTCTTTTCCCCTACCTGCAATGTGGACCTCATGGGGAGTTCCCTAAGAACAGTTGACAAAGGAAGTGAAGACTAGGGCCTGGTTTACAGATGGTTCTGCACAATACGTAGGCACCACCTGAAAGTGGAGAGCTTGCAGCACTACAGTCCCTTTCTAAGACGTCCCTGAAGGACAGCAGTGAAGGGAAATCTTCCCAGCAGGCAGAACTTCGAGCAGTGCACCTGGCTGTGTGTTTTGCTTGGAAGGAAAAATGTCCAGATGTGTGATTATATACTAATTCTTGGTCTGTAGCCAATGGTTTGGCTGAATGGTCAGGGAATTGGAAGAAACATGATTGAAAAATTGGTGACAAAGAAATTTGGGGAAAAGGTATGTGGATGAACCTCTCTGAGTGCTAAAAAATACTGTGAAATTATTTGTGTCTCATGTGAATGTTTGGTGACCTCAGCAGTGGAGGATTTTAATAATCAAGTGGATAGGATGACTCATTCTGTGGACACCATTCAGCCTCTTTCTTCAGCCAACCCTGTCATCACCCAATAGGCACATGAAAAAAGTGGCCATAGTGGCAGGGATGGAGGTTATGCATGAGCTCAGCAAAATAGACTTCTACTCACCATGGCTGTCCTGGCTACAGCTACCACTGAGTGCCCAATTTCCAGCAGCAGAGACCAACACTGAGCTCTCAATATGCCACCATTTCTCAGGGTGATCAGCCAACTACTTGGTGACAGGTTGATTGTGACCTCAATCACATCAGGGTCACCACCTGAGACATTGATCCACCTGCAGAGGTCTGTCCTGCAGGCCCTGACTCAATGACAGATGAATAAATGAGAGGATGGACAGGGGGTCTTGGTCAATTGGCTGCATTTCACCCTCTGAAAGCAGTCGATGGCCATCGCTAGCCCAATTGAATCACTGAAATAGGTGTGAGAGTGCATTGATAAATAATCTGTCATTGAGTCAATGTCTGTAGGACAGACCTCCACTGGTGGTGATCAACATCTGTCTCATAATATGAAGGTTGTGAGTTCAATCCTCATACGATACACCACCTGTGACCTTGATCACTTTGGGGTCACCACCTGAAATGTCAATCACCACCTGTGGAGGTCTGTCCTGCAGACCCTGACTCAACAATGGGTGAATAAATGCACTCTCACACCTGGTTCAGTGATTCAAGTGGGCTAGGCATGGTCATTGGCTGTTGTCAGAGGGTAAAATGCAACCAATCAACCAAGACCCCTTGTCCATCCTCACATTTATTCAGTATAAATTTCATTACAGAGGTTCTAAGCCAACATGTTTGTGGATGATTAACATGGTTAAAAGAGAGGTTTTACGAATGATAAAAGCTTTAGGTTCCAGGGCCCGAAGTAAACACTATTAATGGGTTATTTCCCTTTGATCTCCCCCTGAGAGGACCATCCAGCACAAAGTTTACATGAGTAAACAAGTAGAGTAGAGACAAAGGGATGCGGGGTAAACAGACTTAACTGGGAAAGCCTTTTATCGATCCTGTCTTTTCCCTAACATAATGGACTGGCCATCTTCAGCCTATCCCAATAAATCCTTTTGGCCTTCCAAAAGGTTTGAGACTAATCTGTAACGTTCCCTAATATTTTGTCAGCCACCCTGAATGAATCTCAACAGTTGATTATATCAGACCTCTTCCATCATGGAAAGGTCAATGGCTTGTTCTCACCAGAATTGATACTTACTCCAGATATGGGTGTGCCTATCCCATGCACAATGCTTCTGCCAAGGCTACCATCTATGGACTCACAGAATGCCTTATCTACCATCACAGTATTCCACACACATTGCCTCTGACCAAGGCATTCACTTTACAGCTAAAGAAGTGCAGGAGGAGGTTCATGCTCATGGAATTCACTGGTCTTACCACGTTCCCCATCATCCTGAAGCAGCCAGATTGATAGGACAGTGGAGTGGTCTTTTGAAGTCACAATGACACCACCAACTAGGTGACAGTACTTTGCAGGGCTGAGGCAAAGTTCTCCAGAAGGTTGTATATGTCCTGAATCAGCATCTGATATACGGTACTGTCTCCCAGAGCCAGTATTCATGGGTCCAGGAATCAAGGGATGGAAGTGGAAGTGACACCACTCACCATCACCCCTAGCAACCCACTAGCAAAATTTTTGCTTACTGTTCCTGCAATACTATGTTCTGCTGGCCTAGAGGTCTTAGTTCCAGAGAAAGGAATGCTGCTACCAGGAGACACAACGATTCCATTCAGCTAGAAATTAAGATGCCACCTGGACACTTTGGGCTCGTCCTACCTTTAAGTCAACAGGCTAAGAAGGGAGTTACAGTGTTGGCTGGGGTGATTGACCCAGTCTGTCAAGATGAAATCAGTCTAGACAGGAGATCCCTTAAGGCATCTCTTAGTATTTCCAAACCCTGTGATTAAGGTCAATGGGAAACTACAACAACCCAAACCAGGCAAGACTACAGATGACCCAGGCCCTTCAGGAATGAAGGTCTGGGTCACTCCACCAGGTAAAAATTCATGACCCACTGAAGTGCTTGCTGAAGGCAAAGGGAATACAAAATGGGTAACAGAAGAAGATAGTCATCAATACCAGCTACGATCACACAACCAGTTGCAGAAATAAGAACTGTAATTGTCATGAGTATTTCCTCCTTATTTTGTTAAGAACATGTTTGTGCACGCATACATTTGTACTAAGAAAATATCTTCAATTTTATTTCCTTTCTTTTTCCTTTATCATGTGACATAAGATTTATTGACTTTATATCAGCATTTAAGTGTTGTTAACTTTATGTAATAGCATTTAGGTTAAGGATTAGTGCATTTCCTGTTTGTATAAAGAATAGCTGTATTATGTTAGGCATAATTATGACCTTATTATTGATTGTCTTATTTGAAGATTGTGTATGAGTCCAGGAGATGTGTACGGGTTCAAGTTGACAAAGGGTGAACTTGTGATGGTTAATATTGAATGTCAACTTGATTGGATTGAAGGATGCAAAGTATCATTCCTGGGTGTGTCTGTGAGGGCGTTGCCAAAGGAGATTAACATTTGAGTCAGTGGACTGGGAGAGGCTGATCCGCTCTCAATCTTGGTGGTATGGTACCATCTAATCAGCCTCCAGCATAGCTAGAATAAAGCAGCTAGAAGTTGGAAGACTTGCTGAGTCTTCCAGCCTTTATCTTTCTTCTGGACTGGATGCCTCCTGCCCTCAAATATCAGACTCCATGTTATTCAGCTTTTGGACTCAGACTTACACCAGTGATTTGCCAGAGGCTTAGGGGCCTTCAGCCACAGACTGAAGGCTGCACTGTTGGCTGCCCTACTTCTGAGGTTTTAGGACTCAGACTGGCTTCCTTGCTCCTCAGCTTGCAGATGGCCTATTATGGGACTTTGCCTTTTGTTTGTGTGAGTCAGTATTCCTTAATAAATGCTCCTTCATATATACATCTATCCTATTAGTTCTCTCCCTCTAGAGAACCCTGACTAATACAGGTTTCAAGGAAAGCATGGCTACCTTACAATGGAATTGAGAGTAAATAAACATGGCCCAGAAATCCTGTATTTACGGAGAATAAAAAATAACCCTATATTGAGAAAATTTCTATTAGCATGGACTAAAAATGATGTGACTTTTTGAAATATAAAACTGTCTCCAGTCTCCTCCTACCCCAACCTTCTAAAGGAGGGTGCAGGCTGAGAGGGTGGCTCAGTCACCAAATAAGGCATATTCTCCAATGCCCTCTTTAGAAGCGACCAAGGGGGATTTTGTCTAGGGACTTTCCAAAGGGTGGAGCCAAAAACCACAGAGAAATAATGAACTGAGATTTGGGAAGCTATGCCCTGGGAGCAGTAATGGAGGTCTGAGCCAGTAAGAATATTCCCTTCTCCCTAGGTAGGGGAATGTGGCAACATTCATTGACCAGGATTTCACAGTGGCTATAAACCATGGTGCACCTCACTCTTTTCATATGAAAATGATGCCAGCTGGGGATGAGATTTGAAAGGATTTTGGGATGGATGTGAGCACCTGTGGGAGGGATGTGAACAATGGTAATGGAAAGCAGACTGGGGTTGATTGAATTATTGGTGCCAGTTCTTTTTTCCCTCATATGAGAATTAAAAATAGCACATTTTTGCCATCTTCTCATAACAAGCAGAGGGTGTTTTCCCACCTCTCACTTTTGGCTGAGCCATGTGACTAGCTTTGGCCAATCAGAAGTTATCAGACATGAAGCAAGCAGATGCTTACAATGTGCTGTGTGGTTGCACTCACTCTCCTGCCCACTACGAGACTCCCATGAGAAGAGCTTCCCCCTGTAGCAGATACCCTGTCAACCTGGGCTCCAAAATGAACACAACACAACATACCTGAGCCGGGACCTGCAACCTGCAGCCAAGGCCAGTTTATCTGAAGCCAAAAGCAGAGTCTCATGCCAGATAACCTGCAAACATAAGCAAAAGAAGTAAATGTTTCTTGTTTTCTGTCACACGATTTAATGTTTGTTATGCAGCTTTATTTAGGCAATAGCAGACTAAGATATGTATTTTCCCATGTCATTTTATATTCTTTAAATAGCACTCTTGTAAATACATTGATTCCACTGAAAAATTTCACTTAGTTAACTATTTCCTGATTCTGAAATATTAGTTTTTTTCCTAAATCTATTTTTGACCTCTATTTTTTGTTTCTTATAACAATGCTATTAATAAGATATTAATGCATAATGTTGTTCACACTTTGATTTATTTTCATAGGGTTGAAACTAGATAATAACATCTACTTCACAGGGCTGTTGTGATGATTAAAAGACTTAAAAAATTAAGTGCTGAGCATATTATCTTTCATGTAATAAGCATTCAGTAATGATTGTTGTTGTTTTTTGTTGTAGAGTTCCAAAAGTTGGAAAAACAATTTAAAGCTCTTAATATTTTCCAAAAGTTATATCAATTTATACTGCTAACAGCATCATATGACTTTTAGCATACCTTCAAACAACTCTATTATTTTAACTTTGGCTATTTTGAGAGTTGAGAACTAACATCTTGCTGATATTTTAATTTTTATTGTTTTTATTACAAGTGAGGTAGAAATTCTTATAAATTGTCAAACCATTTATATTTTCTCTTCTGCAAATTACCAGGTAACATGTCCATTTAACATGTTCATTTCCATCCAGTCATGATGTTGGTCTTCCTCTGACCTGATAGGTTTACCTGATGCCAAAGACCTGATTGATTTTCATGCTGTTCAATATAATAGTCACCTGTGGCAACTGGACACTTGAAGTGTTTCTAATGCCACAAGTTGATATGATAATATTTTTTATATAGTGAGTGCAATGAAATATATTATTAGAATTTATTGTATATGTTTCTTTTTACTTTTTAAAATATAGATACTAGACAATTTTAAACTACCTATTTCTATTGGACAGAGCTGCTTAGACCTTTAAATATCACTTGCTCTGAAATTCTCCTTTGTCAAAACTCTCATCGCCCACACCCTCATGTTGGCTTCTCCTGCTATTACATGGTTCATCACCTGCAGTCTGTTGTCATACCTTCTAGATGATGCTGCGTTAAGCCAATCCCTCTCCTCCAAGTCCCTGCTGCGTTTCATTCTCCGGGTCTCACCTCCTCCTAATTCAGTCTCATCCCCCTGTGATTAATCCTCCCATGTCTGGCAACACATCTCAATTAGGTTCTATCACAGATTCCTGAATGAAATGGCAAACTTGATAAGGATTTTTAAGTCTTACAGTGTGTGTTAAATAGATTATCCTCACTGCTATCTACATGTTTATTTTCTATTTATTCTATTTCTAGCAGTGAAACATATGGCTTTTTAAATGCTGAGTTTTTTTATTTGAAAATGCCATCAAAAGTTCGCAAACACACAAAGCTAATAAACAACTGCATATGTTTTTCAAATTCCCCTGCCTCTGCCCACACCTTCAAACGTAACCACTGTGAATCTTCTCAAACCACATTTGGTGAAGACAGCCAAAGGTTATGCCTGTAGCCACGAATGCTCAAAAGTTTCCTAACACCAACTCCACCTGACCAAAATGTCACAGACATTTACTCATAATTCCTGGGGTTTTTGAGTCTAGAAGGCAGCATGGGTATGGGTTAACTTACCTGGCTACGGTAGAATTTTTAAAAGCCCTTCATGAAGGATGCAAGAGAAAGAAATCTGCAATGCTGATGCAAAGCAGAATTCTTAACGTATTAAAAGGGATTATCATATGTAATGTGGGAATTCAACCTTGTTTTTTTGATCCACAGCTCTTTTTTTTGTTGCCTGAATTCATAATCGTGAAGCTCATTTGCCTTAGGGAAGTATCTGCAGCACATCTTTAATGCCAGACCAGCTCCTTCCGCTGTTCTTGCCCCTTTCCAGCAAGCTACTTCCCACCTCCCCCAACATCCCCATGGCTGCCCAGGAATTAAAAGCAATTTGAATATGTAATCATGTGGAATAATAAACACAAGTGTACTCTCTGGGGTGCTCTCTGGCTGCTACTGTCTCTTTGCAACTAGTTTCCTAAGTGCCTTTGAGAGATGCTGAGAACGCCATGTTGACAGTTAACCTTTTAACAGTTTTGCCATTTTCTGTTCACCCTGGCTACAAGCCCAGCTCTAAAGGAGGCACAGGAAGTGGGGTGAAGGAAGGGTTTCCTTCCTTCTAAGACTCACTGGAGACACATTCTCCATAGCCTGAGGAAGAGAGTTGGGCAGGCTTTGAATAGTGTATTTTTAAAACATTCATTATTCTGACAATGGAGTTTCATGAAACTAGCT